CCGCGGGGCGCCCCGGCCCGCCAGGTGGCGCGCGGCACTGAGTTCTCCAGGCCACTTGCTCTCGGAGTCTCCATGCCAAGAGGAGGTAAATAAAAGGTGTCTGTGTCTCAAACCCAACGTGGGAGCGGGCGGGGCCCCCGGGCTCCGTCCCTCTGGCGGGCCGGGGCGCCGGCCCGGGGGCTGGCAGACACGAGGTAGGCCTCCATCGCGCAACACGCAGCGCGGGCTCTCGCGGTCGCCTGAGGGGAGGGGCGCGCTAGATCTTCACGTCCTCCTGCACGCTGAGCTGCGAGAGCGTCTTCTTGATGCGCAGCGCGGTCAGGCGCGCAGCCCCGTTGGCGTACCAGCATTCCCGCATCATCTTCCCCATGACCCGCAGCGCCTGCAGAGAGACGCAGGGGGTCACGGGCCTCCTTCCCAGGGGCTCTCCCTGGCCACTCACGCTCCCTCCTCCTCGGCCCTGGGGAAACGCTTTACCTCACGGGGCGCCCGGCTCCCTCACACTGGGACGTCCTGCCTCACCCTGCCCCTGCCTCACCGGGGGCATCCACCCTCACCCGGGCGTCCTCCCTCAAGCACAGGGTGTAAAGGCCAAAGGGAAAGTGCGCCGGCAGAGGCAGCCCGCGGGGCCTCAGGCCCACTGTGAGGGCTGTTCCCTGAGCAGGTTCCTTAAAGCAGCGCCAGGCACGGGGCCGCCCAGCTCGGCCCTGCCCGCGGGCCCACACGCCGGGGTGGGTCCCCGGCCGCCCGGGCTGAGAGGGGGGTCGGAGGCCACGCAGGGTGCCGAGGGACCCAGGCGTCCCCGTTTCTGCCCGAGGCCGGCGCTTCCACTGCCACCCTCGGCGGTGGAGCCCATTCTCCTAAGTCGAGTCCTCACACATAAGCAGCGCTGCCTGAGAGGGAGCTCAGTATCAGTTCTCTCAGTTTTACTCGTCGCCCGCCCGAAGGAAACCCTCACCGCGGGCTCCAAGGACACCCTGAAAGATGCAGCCCCACGCGGCGAGGGCTGAGGCGGGCGCGCCCCCTGCTGGCTGGCCTCGGGGAGCCACGTCCAGCCGGAAAGGGCCTCAGGGCTCTGGCGGCGACCTTGCCCTGGGAGGCGGGTCTCCGCTTACCAGAGATCATGTCATAAGTTCATCTTCAACTATCCCTCCAAATACTGCCCTCCCCCAGATTCACATTAGCCACCCCATCCCAACCCTTTCACAGGTCACCCTCTTCCCCAGTTCTAGAGGCTACTTCCCCCAAGACTGTCTGAGTCCTCCCCCACTCCACACCCACCGCCCCTTCTCAGACACCCCTTCTTAGCTCAGCTCAGCTCTCAGCTCCCCCCCGGCACTCTCCCGGTTAGACAGGTCTAACAGCTTCTGCCGTTTCTGTGCATCTCCTCTAACCCTGCCTCTCAGTTGTGTCTGCGGGAGGGGATGCAACTCTTCCTTCTGGGCTGTAGGGCCTCGGGCCCTCAGAGCCCAGGGCCAGGGCCTCGCCCCAGGCTCAGCAGTTCTGTAAGCAGCACCCAACGCTACACAGTCACGGCCCCTGGGGCTGCTCCGAATGAGCCTTCCCTTTTCTGAGCAGAGAACCCAGGCCGGCGGAAACCGCAGGAAGGGGCGGGCTTCCTACCTCGTAGCTCTGCCACCAGTTGGGGATGTTGGGCCGCAACTTCTGGTCACACACGACCTTTCGCATTTCCTCGATGGAAGGGTCTGAGGGCACTAAGTCATAATATGGCAGCTGATATTCTTCATGGACTCCTGGGGGAAAGAAAGAACCACCTGAGTTGTCAGGAAGGAAGAAATTACTCAAAGCCCACACTGACCTGTGAGTGCCACTTCCCACCCGAGAGGCTGGCTGGTTCTAGGTATGAACTAAGAATACACGAGGCCGGCCAGGAGCACCTTTCCACACCAGAAAGCAAGGGGCCATCAAGGACTACGGATGTCACAGTCTTTGAGGTAAAGGCGTCACCACAAAAGGCTCCCAACGGGCAGATGTGAGAACATTTAAACAACAGTTAAGATGAGAAACTTCAATGGAAACAAATATTTTAAATCTGCTAATTCATGGGGATGCTAAACAAACCTTAGTTACCTTTACAGGATGCTAGGGAACAAATTCATTCTTTTGAAAAGTAGTAAATATATGGAAAGACTTGAGTGTTTTTTCTTGACTTTCTTATTCCTATTATACATCTTGGTAACCACATGATAAAAAGAAACTTCTCTTTGGAGAAGAAGTCCAGCTAAAACATAACACTGACAGAATCAGTGTATCAGCATTTTCCAACTTTTGGAGAACTTTTGGCAATAATCACTGATGGCTATTAACCCATTAACCCCTTACAGAAAGAACAGGACTGGCGTTATGGCACTACGTGCTTTATTATGAAAGGATTTGGGGGGAACATATGGTTCACTAAATGTTACTTTTCTTTTTAAAATATTTATTTATGCATACAGAACTGGGGTACAGGCCAGAGGCTCAGGGGCACTGAGAGGATTCACCAGAGACAGAGTGGGGAGCAGAACAGGCCGACTGATGAAGTACACTGCTGAGGGGAGCAGCGGGCGGGTCAGGAGAGGTCTGCCGTGCCATGTGGTCACCTCCTGGGTGGGGATCGAGCTCACACTGAAGCGCTGCGCCACCAGAGAGGGCAATAAATGTTTATTTTTTAAAAGACTGTATTTTTATTTTTGTGTGGATCAACTGGGGTGTAGACCAGAGGTGCTGGGAGGAAGGGGGAGAGGTGGTGACGGGAGCAGGACAGGTGGGCTGACTAAAATCAGCTGCTGAGGGGAGCAGCAGGTGACAGGGGTCTACTGCAGCCTGTGGGTCACACCCAGGATGGGACTCTGTGGTGGCGTTGAGACTTAACCCATTAGGCCACCAAAGATACCCTAGATGTTAACTAGTATAAGAAATTCACAGGAACAGCGAGAACGTAAACTGCACAAAGAGGCAATCAGCAAAATCTAGACTGCAAAACTTTATAGGACAAATGACATAGATTTGCCAATAAAAACATCACAGAAGAAAAAAAATGGAGGGCGGATGTGGTCACTTAAGTGACCTCAGGGGAACATCAGTCAACTGTGCCCGGTGGACGTGATTTGAACTCCTAATTTCAACGGACTTTAAAAGAAAATTAGGTGACAAGTGTCAACACTGATGCTAACTGATACCAAGAATGTACATCTAAAGCAAGATGATATTTTTCAAAAATCCTTACCTTCTCAAGTTCCAAACTGAGAAAATTCCCATAATGTAAAGTTAAAAAAAAAAAAATCCAGGGCCCTCCCTGGTGGTGCAGCGGGTTAGAGCACAGCACTAAGAAGCTAAAGCCGCTTCCGCGTGAGTTCGATCCCGCCTGCTCCGGAGGTGACCACATGGCGCGGCAGACCTCTCCTGACCCGCCCGCTGCTCCCCTCAGCAGTGTACTTTGTCAGTCTGCCTGTTCTGTTCCCCACTCTGTTGCTGGTGAATCCTATCACTGTCCCTGGAGCTCTGGCCTGTACCCAAGTTCTGTATGCACAAATACATAAACCTTAAAAACAAAAACAAAAAAAAACCCAACCGACAAGTTTGTAGTAAAGATTAAATGAATTTAGGAATGACAAGCGATGAATAAATGTTAGTATTTTTTTATATACTTAGTTTCAATTTCTGGATGGCCTAAGAGAAAATTAACTTACATTTAAGACCTGTGTGAACAGATTTGGCTGGTCAGCACATGATGATGAAATTTTAAGACGTACGAATCACACCTTGGCTGCCTCCTCCATAATCTGTATCTTATCAAACATACACACAGAAAGAGGTAACACTCCACAGAGGGTCACTGAAGACTCAATGGTTATTTTTAACTTGACCATTTCCACTGATCTGGAACCTCACATCAGAGATAAATGGCTAAGACAGAGCTCTAGAAGGTCTGAAAGTTGGTTACACAGGGGAATACTTGGAAGTCACCATAAAACACTGATGTACTAAGCTGATGGTAAAATGTGCTTTCTACTAAATTGGATACCAGCTTCACTGGGTCTGACTCTGAGCAGTTGCAAAAGCCAAAGATTTATGAAGAAAATTTTCAGAATCTGCATTTTCACAGTTTTCACCTGTGAACAGAAGCAGCCACCACTGCTTCCCAGTGAGGCGCGCGGCCTGTCTGCAGTGTCAGAGCAAGCCCGTGTGAGGCCCGTGAGGCCCCGCGCTGCCCCGCCCAGCACCTTCCTGACCTCCACAGACAGCAGAGGTGTGTTTAAAGAAAACCACTTCCACCAAAGCACGGTCCGGCAGGGTTTCCTGAGGTGAGACACCACTCAGCAAGCTGACCCAAGGAGCCATCCCGGGCCCAGCGTCATCTCCAATGAGAGCCCGGGGTGGGGTGGGATGGGGGGCTCTGCACGAGGCCTCCCACCATGGTGAGGAGAAAGGGAAGGCGACATGAAACCCTCAGGTAACCCTGCACTCTGGACGAGAGGCCAGCAGAGAAGAGTCGGAAGGAAAGGCAGGCACCTCCAGAATTGCACCTTCGCGCAATCTCCCAATACACAAGGCCGAGGGCGTAGATGTCAGCACATTTAAAGGAGTCAAAGTGCTTCATGTTAATGGTTTCATCAAGTACTTCAGGGGCCATGTACCTGAAATTGCAAAGGAAATATGATCACGCATAGAAAAACAAAGCCTTGATCCAGGGACCCCTGGATGTGGGAGAGCATCACCCCCCCCCAAGTCCTTGGGGTGCAAGAATAGTCAACTCTCTTGCAAACTCTCAAATGCTATGGATTCAAATCTAAGTGCTTCTGTGTAGACCTGCTGGTGCGAGGGAAATATTTTAAGCCATTCTGACCCCTTGGCAGGACACTGCAGGTGGTCACAGGCAACAGCAGGATTTGGCGTCCGGCTGCCCCTGGGGTCTTGGCCTTTCCTGCCTGTAGCCAGAGATGAGCTGAGCTAAAATTTCATCCTGAACTTTTATCATCTAACCTGGTTGCAGAAAGGGGAAAACTGCAGATAGCCACCAACATCAGCCCCATCATTAGTATCACGCATGTCTCCCTGGCGGCGGCAAGGCAAACCGGGGTCCACACCGGCTCCCTGGGGCCGGGCAGGGGAGGGGCAGAGCTGCGGCCCAGTGCGGCGTAGCGCAAGCCGACGCACGCCCGGCCGAGCAGACTCGCAGCCACGCTACCGAGGCGCCGCGCCCCTCACGGAGCCACCCGCAAGCCCAGCGCCTCCCTTCTCCAGAAGCGGGAAGCACAGGACGATCTTTAAGAAGTGCCCCCCTTCTCCCCCGTAGGCGCCCCTCTCCAGCTTGGCAAGCTGCTCACGAGTCCAACAGAACACAGACCCTGCCCCTGCACAGTGGCGCCTGGGACTACTCTCTCCCTCTCTAGCCGCCTGCTACCTGAGCCCCGGCTGAATCCTGCCCCCAGTTCCCCGGGAGCCGCCTCCCATGCCTGGCACCTCGCCCTCCTGGCACGCGGACTGCTAGGTGCAACTGGGTCGCTCCCAGGGCGGGCAGAGGTGCTCGCCGTCCCGCTGGCTGGGACTCGGGCTCGTGCCTCCCTCTCTGGTGCGCACAGCAGGGCAGGGACCCAAGGGCCTGCCTACCGTTTGGTCCCCACCCTCTGATTTGGGGCGATGTCAATGGTGTCGGTGACCGCGTCGTGACGGACGGCCAGGCCCAGATCTGCAATGGCGCACATGCCATTCTTCTTCACGAGGATGTTCTTTGACTTCAAGTCTCGATGAGCAATTCCAGGCTTTCCTGGCAAAGAAAGGAGGGGTCATTAAAGAGAAGCACCCCTGCAGTGGACAGCTACCCTGGAAGGTGACCTGGCCTTGTGCCCTCGCCTTCCCCCGCGCCACGGGACCAGCACCAGCACGATGTCGTGGGCATGCGGTGAGGGCGGCATGTGATGGCGGCCCAGGATGGCCGCTGATACGCCCGCCTGCCTCTCCTGAGCGGGCAGGCTCTGGCACAGCATCCCGAGGAACTCTTTCCAAGCGCTGCACTGAAACAGGCAAAACCGGGGCCTGCTCACATCACCCACTTGCTGGGAGCGGGGCCCAACCCGCAGCCAGGTCGGGGGCAGGCTGGGCAGGAGCGGCTACCTGGTGGCCAGGCGCCAGGGATACACACTCCGTGACAGGCTCCAGGACCTCCTGAGGAGTGGCCACTACTTCCTCTGGCAAAACTGTCCTGGGCGAGCCCACCAGGCAGTCTTCAAATAAAGCTCAAGCCCCTTTCTTCTAGACGACAGTCACCCACGCTCGGCTCGTCGCAGTTAAAAAGACTTGTGGAAAGGAAGCCAGGTGGTAGCAGGGCTGCCCGGCCCAGCGCTGGCCCCTCACCTTGCGTCCCCACGATCTCCATGTGCAAATGCGCCAAGCCGCTGGCGGCCGACAAGGCCAGCTTGATCATCCCCTCAATGGTCACTGTGTACCGGTTGAGATAATCGAAGAGGGAGCCGTGTTCGTGGTAGTCAGAGACGAGCCACAGCTGGGTCCAGGTGCCGTTATCTGCAGGGAACCACAGGAGAGGTCCAGGAAAGGCGCACCGCCGGCAGAGACGCCCAGGCACGAAAGCAGCGAGTGCGCAGCCCGGCTCACGCCCGCCCAAGCCTCCCTTCTTGCCGCCACACCGAGGGGCGCGGTGTCCACTCCATCTACCACGTCGCGGTCCCAGTAGGGGCAGAGCAGCATTTCCTGTCTACACCAGCCCCGGCTGCGGCGTGCTGAGCCGGGCCCCGCTGGCGGCCGCACATCTCGGAAGTCATGCTGCCGTCTGCTGGGCCCTGGCCAGGCCGCCCACCGACCGGCCAGCAAGCACACTGGTGCGTCCATCGCCACCACGCAGGCTGGCTTTGTGGGCGCGCCGCTGTGCTCCAGGACCCTCTGAGCAGAGCCGGGCCCAGAACGGGCCTCACGGCTCCCGGGGACGAGCGGCACGTCCACGCGCTCCGAGCACCCTCACCCCAGAAGAGCCTGGCAGGCGGGCAGCGTGCGCTTTCACTTGCTCCTTTACACGTGCGGTGGGGGCAGTGGACAATGGGAAGGAGCGGGGGGGGAGGAGCAGGAAAACCAAACACGGGTAAGCTTGCTAGGCCGGGCTGCTGCTGCAGGAGTGAAGGAGCCCGACTCCGCCCCACGCCTGACGCAGGTCTGGGCACCAGCTCTGCCCACACGGCTGAGGGCCGGCTCAGGCAAAGAGCGAGCCTGGCGCCTGATACGAGCGAGGCTCCCCCAACACGCCCCCTTCTCACTCAACAGTCCGCTCTCTCGGCGTTTGGGGAGCCTGCCAGGAAGTTGAAGGCAACACGTCTTCGGGTCTTTTCAGGGCATACGTGCGACTTAATGTTACCCAGAGGAGACCTTGTTTTAGAAAGGAGTTAAAACTTCGCTCTGCCCTTCAGCCTGAGGGCAGCTGAGACCACTACAGACCCAGCTGCTGCTGTTGCCTCGGGACGGACAGGTAAGTCCCTGGCGCCCAGGCTGGGCAGACACTCTGGCCGTGCACAGCCACAAGCCCCGGCCCGGCTGCCAGCAGACTCAGGCATCTCTGACTTCAGGAGCCAGGAGACCTGTCCCCTCTCACTGGGGCTGTGCCCTGTCCTTACAGGTGAGGGTCCAAGCAGGGGTCAGTGCTATCAAACTCCAATCATCACCCACAACCCTCAGAACGAACCGCAATCTCCTCAAACGGCCCTTCACGGCCTGGCTTCTGCCGTCTCCACCCGGCGTCTTGGGTGTCCTTCACCCCGACAGCTCCCGCCTCAGCTCAGTGCAGTCGTGCCCTCGTGGACCTGCCATTTCACCCCGATTTTGCTCACCACCTGGTGACTTCCCGCCACTGCACCCCTATCATTAATGTACACGTCTCCACCAGTGCACCCCTATCATTAACGGACTCGGGCGAGGGCCTCCACAGGACAGGCCTGGGCCCAGCGCCGGAAGCGGAAGCCAGCGCACAGGGGGCGGAGGGGGAAATAAAGGGCCTCAAGGGCCCGGGCAGCGCAGGCCAGCAGGAGCCTGACACCACAGACCGGCGGCCCGTCTGCCCCGCCCACGAGCGGGAGGAGGCTGGTGCGGCACAGAACGTGGGCTCCGCCCTTCTTGGGGCTGCCCCTCTCTCGGCAGGTGTGAGCCCCAGCTCCTCGTTCCAGGGGTTCTCAAGTCAGACTGAGAGAGCCCTGCTGGCTGCAAGGGGGAGTGGGGTGCAGGAGGCAGGTGGGGCGAGGAATCTACCTTGTCTGCTCAGCAACCTGGGCGTCTGTATCACCTTTTCATGGCAAAAAAAATCGCAAACAATGGCCTCACTTGGCTTCTCCTCCCCCGCGAGTAACTGCGCAGGCCGGCAGAAGCCCCGCTCACTGCCCCGCCCTGCCCGGAGGCCGGGCCAAGCCCGGCCCTTTACCTTTATTGTCAGCAGCGATAAACCCAAGGATGTTCTCATGGCGCAGCATGACTGTCTGGTATATCTCTGCCTCCCGGAACCACGACCGCTCTTCTCGGGAAGAGAAGATTTTCACAGCCACGTCGCCGCCCCTCCAGCGGCCTCGCCACACTTCCCCAAACCGGCCCTTGCCGATAATCTCCTGTAAAACGATGGTGCGCGCCACTGTACGCTGGACGAAAAGGGGTAACCCTGTGGGCCAGAGAACAGAAAGTCGACACCGTAACTCGCTACACTTCGCGACGCCACGCCCCCCGCCACGCGGGAAAAGCCCCCTTCCCTTCTGCACCGGCACTGACCACGGACAGCTGTGGCGGCCCCTGCGCCGAGCCGGGCCCCACAGAATGCTACGCCAGGGAGCCAGCGCGAGGGAGCAAGCCCAGGAAGGGAACGGCAGCGACGAGCTCTCCTCCCTGAAGGCGCGTCTCTCGCTGAGCGTGGGCGACAGACTCCAACATACATGTCTGGCCAGGTCTGCCAACTCTGCAGCCGTCTGCTGTGGGCCGGCCCACCCACCTCTGCCTGACGCCCAGGGAAGAGGACAGAGGGCGGAGAAGAGGGAAGTGCAAGGGACCGCTGGCCGCGGCCACTAGAGGGCAGTGCTGCGGGCCACAGGGCCCGGCTGCGGAGGCGGGCAGCTTCCCCGCAGAGGTCCCAGCTGTTGGCGGGAGCCCGGCCAGCTACACCCAGCTAGGGGCCCACAGCTCGCTCGCTTATTCCACGCTGACAGGACTCATCAACAGCTCTGCGTCCACCCAGCCGTCCTTAGCATCATGGCTGACTCTCTCCCTCCCTCCCCTTGACCAGAGACATATGCTGTTAACCCCTAGGTCCTGGGGTCATGACCCCCCAGTTACTGGACCTGCTAAGCATTTGGTCTTTACAAAAGTTACTGCCCCATTTCCTCACAACCACCTTTAACACAATTATCACTACCCCCACTTCACAATGGGGAAACTAAAGAGGAAAGTTAAATGACTCATTCAAATTTATACAAGCAGTAAGTGGCAAAGCAGAGATTAAAATCTAGGACTGTCTGACTTCAAAGTTTAGGCTCTGAACTGCAACAGTACAGAACCACCAAAATGTTTCTCAAATTAGATCCCTCCTCTCCGTCCCCTCTGTGCCTGCCCTAGTTCTGGCCCTTCTTTAAGAGACTTCCAACGGGTCTTTCTGCCTCCTGACTCACCCTGCTGCTGCCCTGCACACCCACACGCATCCAGCTTCACCCCCCGCCCCCCAAACAGGAGGCTAGTAAGTTAATGTATTCAGCCTCCGTACCACAAACAAAACTTTCCACAGGAAAATACGAACATGTATTTTCCCAAACGAGTACCTTGAATAGGTGCCTCTCATCTTACCAGACCAGACTGGCACCAAGGCGCTTCACACCTGGGCAGCCTCCTGTACCTCCACCCGGTGAGCACGCCATGCTGGTCTACCCACTCCGCACCGGTGAACCGTCATGCCTTTTGGTCCTCAAGGTGTCTCCCTATGACTGGAAATGCTTCTTGCCCTTGTACCTCACTCGCAAAACCTCCTGCTCATTCTTCAGGCCCCCTCTAAGCAAACACATCCATCTCGGCGAGACGCCCAACAACAACCTGCCCCTTCTATCCATTTCTCTTTTCATCTTAATTTATCCTACGTCACCCAGGGGCATGCAACATGTATTTACTAATGTGAATTCAAAGTCACATAAGCAGTATGTACTTACTTACTAGTTAAAAAAACACAATATCTTGGAAGTTCAGTCTATTCTGAATTAAGAATGGACCAAACCATCCAGAGAGAAAGCTGTTATTACTCTGAAAACTGCTGTGAGCCTTCCCTAGCCTCAGCTCGTTCCAATCTTAAAACAGACTCTGGAAAACCTGAGCTAACCCTTCTTGAGCAGTAAATCAAGTCACAGAGTCAGTCACGGGCAGCTCTGACCATTGCTCTACCTCTTCCGGCAAATAATCAGCCATGTATTTTCTCTCTTCCTAAAAATAGGCAGCTTTTAAAAATATCCATCATTTTGGCACTCCCTAGCGCGGAGCTTAATAAAGGCAAAACCACTGAAATTCAGGAGATGTCACAGCTCAAAGTACTGCCTGTGTTCAGGAGGAACGTCTGGCTGTAGGAGAAATGACCGAGGCTATCATTTCCCTACAGAACAATAGTTTTGTTAGGCAAGAAAACACACACAAGATCCTCACAAACGCTAGGTATGTTGTAGCGAGAATGCCAGCAGTGATCTCTGCGGATGACTGAAACAAGAACACACCTTCGCCATAACTATCTTCATGAAAAGACCCCTGTGGCCACACTCACATCTAGGAGCAAAGTGAACTGCACCCCAAGACCCGAACCTCCCCAGTTTCCTTTAGCCTAATGGGTGGGCTGACATCTGGGTCCAGGGGCCAGTCCGCTTTCTCACCTTACTAAAAAGTCGGTGGGGACACTGCCCAGGGGCTGTGGAGGGCACCCGGCTGCTGTTATTCTGACCCCCAAACAACCCCTCGGGCTGTGACCAGTCAATGATCTACCGAGCCCGGCTCTCAGTCTTACTCGGTGTCCTCAGACTCCCCTTGTGGCTGCTCAGCGATCAATGATTAGCTGTCGTCACCTCCCAGGAACCCAGCACACTCCCGTTTCTCAAAAGGGGCCTGAAATGGAGCAGGATGCCGCCGGGGGGACAGCGAAGCCCACAGACGTGGCTGCAAGGCCCGGAGGGGCAAGGTTCACATTTGACTTTGGAGTCCCAGGGAATGGGAGATTTTCTGTGAACCCATTATCTTATCTTTTTACGTGTCGGACTCCAGAAGAAGGGGAATTATGAAACCAAATGCTTCCATGCTGGCCTAAGTAAGTACAAGGCCCAGCCCTCTCTATGAACACCCCAGCCTGCTGGAAAATGGTGATTAAGGTCAACGACAGACCAAATGCCGAAGAGCTTCGTACCTGAGCCAGACCCAGAAGTGGAGAGATCATAGACGAGATCCTGGAGCGTCTTATCTTTGGAAAGACACATTTCACACGAGGGATCTTCCATGTCCAGTCTCTGGCGGTTGTGGTAGACACGCTGATGATAGTTAATGACAAGGAAAACAATGATGATGATGAGAAACAGGAGGAACACGGGGCCGGCGATGATGCCCACCAGCTCCACGGGGCCCCACACGGAAGGGCGCTCGGGCTCCTTGACGTGACCTGGTCGGCGAGAGGAGGAAGCGCAGAGTGAAACACCGGACGGCCACGGCCTCTTCTGCCCATCACCTCCCTCCACCGCCGCGAGTCCGTGGTGCCCGACTCTGCTCTTGCTACACCCGTCTAGCTGCAAGGCGCCCTCTCGTGCCAGCTCTGTCTAGTTCAGGCGCCCTTTTCAACAGTCAAACCCACAACCCACTCTGCAGTTTCACAGCACTTCATGGGACTCCTCACCCTGGCTCCCCAGACAAACGTCAGGTCTGGCTTCTGCCACCTCCACGCCATCCCTCTCCCTCTGCCACCGGATCTTCCCAGTGACACCTAAGCGGGAGGCTTGCAAAGAGATGGAGCTCCTACTTCTCGGCCTGGATCTCTCTCTTTTCCAGCCTGCGCCCTCTCTCCCACTCGGCCATCACCTCAGCCTGCAGATCCCTCCACGGCTCTGGGGCTCGCTCTTCTGGGATCAGCCCCATACCCTTCCCTGGGGACCCCTCCTCTGCTCGCCCGACCGGCTGCCTGCAGGGGCTCGGCCACTACCCAAACACAGCCTTCCGAGACTACCCTGACAGGTCCATCTCGCCACCCACTAATTTACAAACCTGTCTTGGGAGGACTCCCAGACCTTGTCACCTTGGGGAACATCAAAAAGGTACCTTTACCTATCATCAAACAAAGGGGTTAGGGATGAGTAGAGAAGGATGAAATGACAGGGGTGCCCTACCTCCAAGATGAGCCAATAGTCCAACAAGGGTGTCCACTCACCACTGGGCACCCTCAGATCAATCTTGTTGCAGAAGTCAGTGTAGCAGCAGTGGGTGTTGCGCAGGTCCTCGGAGCTCAGGCAGTAGAAGGGCTTTCCGGCAGGGACCAGCTCCACCTTGGGGATGCAGGTGCGCACATGATGCTCCAGCCCATCCAGGTTGAAGATGGAGACCATGCAGGCCCCGTCCGTCTCACACGTGAGGTTGGCTTGCAGGCAGCTGGTGCAGGCGCACAGCAGAGCTGCAGGGGGTTTGGGAGGAGACACTGACATCAACAGCGAGGTCCTGCCCTGCCTTTCCTCCGGACTTAGACCATAACTCCTCAGCAGACCTGCCGCTCCAAAGGAAGGAGCGTTTATAGGGACGAGCCCAGAAAGATGAAACCATCAATGGGACACAGTCTTTTCACCTGTTTATTCGGCTCACAATCTAGGCGCTTGCCGCCTCCACCTTCTCCTCCAAGTGTTCCATTTCATGTTAGCGAGACCATCTCGTGACCCTTGTCTTAGATTTATTACAAATTATTTTGTGGCTGGGAAAGACATTTTTCCTTTAAGCTTATATGCCTGAGGAGGCAAGGAGGCACCTTCCTTTGGATAATACAGGGCCCTCCCCGATCCCCCCCAAACCACCCAGGGCCCCTTGGAGGCATCATCAACCCCATCTTCCTCCTCTGGCACTCGGCACGCCCAGGTTCCTGAACGTGCTAGGTGCTGCAGTGCTTTTTCTTCTGACCAACTTTTTACAGATTATTTAAAATTATGCTTAAATGTCACTTCCTTTATAAAGCCCTCCCTGGCCAGCACTACGAAGCTGGCTGCAGCCACTTCAGCACGAGGTTGAGCCCCGGCCTGGGAGTGACCCAAGGGCATAGCAGCCCTCTCCTGACCCCGCCTGCTGCTCCCCAGCAGTGGATTTCAGCAGATCTGGCTGTTCTGCTCCCCACTCTGTCTCTGGTGAATCTTCTCGCTGCCCCTGCACCTCTGGGCAGTTTTGTATGCATTAAAAAAAAAAAAAAAACAGGCCCTCCCTGGTGGCGCAGTGGGTTAAAGCACAGCACTAAGAAGCTAAAGCTACTTCAGCATGAGTTCGGTTCCCACCTGCCCCGGAGGAGATCCACATGGCGTGGCAGACCTCTCCTGACCCGCCCGCTGCTCCCCTCAGCAGTGTACTTCGTTGATCTGCCTGTTCTGCTCCCCACTCTGTCTCTGGTGAATCCTCTCACCCTCCGCATCTCTGGCCTGTACCCCAATTCTATATGAATAAATAAATGAATCTTAAAAAAAAAAAAACACAAAACTTCCTCTTAGTCTCTGTCAGGAGCCTCTCTCTAGAGAAGCAAAAAGAACATCCTCCAGAGAAGATATTATTAGTACCCACCTCACCAAATCATTGCAGGGATTAAATGAGCTGATGCATAAAAAGTATAAGTTTAGCCCACTTGGGACAGCCCTGGATATCACATACAGACACACAACACACATACTTTCAAATAGGCAGTATCTGCACACGTCTGGGCCTTTATGAGCTCTGCTGGGCATGTTATACGCGTGTTATGCATGTGTACGCTGCTGACAGAAATGACTGCAGATGAATCTGGCGCCCTGGGGAGCCGGAGCAGCAACCCCGGAGCTGGAAACCCTTTATTTACCAGCTGACAAGAATAGCACAGACAGCAGCAGGTGGTCCTCCCCAGCACTGTCTCCCTCGAGCCCACCCTAGTGCTGACCCCTGGGCAGGCAGGGGGTGGGGGTGGCCCTGGGCCACACAGCGCCGACTACACCAGGGTGGCAGGACCACGCAGCCCAGACTGGGCACTAAGCAAACACGCCGGGCTCCGCGGGCGTCTGCAGGCTTGTCCGGAGAAGCCCTCGGGCCAGCCTGGGGAAGCCGCCTGCTGGCGCCCCCCAGACGGCGGGTCTATCTTTGTCTCCCCAGGAACTGGAAGGCAGCGCCTGGCTCTCCAGATTCCGAGACAGACAGCTTCTCAGTGTCCAGCCCCTCCTTCCCCACACTCTCTAGGGCACACAACCCTCCTGCCCCCGCAGGAAACAAAGGAGAGAGCTAGGAGCCGGCCCCAATGTACAGCCTCGCTTTCTCCCCTATACCGTCTGATCAGATCCTTTCTTCTGGGAGAAATTCCAAAGCATGCAGCCACCTGCCGAAGGGCTGGGGAGTGTTATTCATATTTTAAGGGCAGACAGTTTAAAGCAGGTGCCCTTTAGCCTATAATCCAAATCATAAAAAGAATTAAAAAAGTAAATTCCACCCAATTCCAATCCTCACAGACACGAGGAGGCCCAAAGAACCTCCTTGTGTTTTCTCCCCAATATTTCCATTTGCGCACTCTTGGTTTGCTCGCCACCTGACTGGGGCTCACTCCCGCAGCTCAGAGGCTGATCCTCTGCTCACACTGGCCTCCCGACGGCTCATCCATCCCGAGAAAGCTAAAGCCCACTTCTCTGTGTCTGTGGGGGCCTTCATGCACAAAGGGGCTCCAGGGGGAGCACACCTCTTCATACAGGAGCTGTGACGTCAGGTGAAGGGAAATAGCACCGGGTCTATTTTGGGAAGCAAGAAGGGAAAACGGACAGCTCCGGAGGGCTATTCTGAGCGCGGCGGCACGCGGGAGCCAAGCGCCTCTGGGACGCTCGCTCAGAGCCGGGCAGCGGGACGGCCGGTCTCGCTCCCCTGCCGGGTCACGGCCTCTTTCACAGTGATTCACTCTGGAGCATGAGCCCAACCTCACATGGCTCATCAGTTTGGGGAAGTACTGGAACCATCTTGGTGCAAGACAGGAAAGAACAGAAGTGGTGAAATCGGCGCTGGACGGGGCGAGAAGGCACCAACTCGGGTCTGAGGTGAGCGCAACGTCGCCCAGGCTGCTCGGAGAGAGGCTCCCTGCACCATCTGTGCACGCCCGAATGAGAGGGAACAGCAGATGAGAGCGTTTCCAGATGACCATCACTCCTGCCCACCCCCTGCAGTTCGGCTACTTGCCCAGGGCAAGACCACGTCTGCCAGGGCGCTTGAAGGCTCTGGTGCCCGCTCCAGTATTAATCACGAGATCTTGAGCAAGTCAGTAACTTTCCTGCACCCTAGTTTCCTAATCTGTAAAGCAGGACTATTAATAATGACTCCCCGGGACTACGTGAGTGTCACATGAGCTGGGCCGAGGAGATGCCCGGCAGCTCCAGGGCGGACTCCGGCGTTGCTCTCACGACCAGCGGGCGGCGGGGTGCAGCGAGACCCCTGCCACAGGCTGCCACGGCGCCCGGCGGCCAGCTTGCCCCGTGGCCAGGGCAAGCCCTTCAGCACTCTGAACCTCATTTTCCTCATGATTGACCAGAAAGAGGGGACGGGCCAGGATGACCTCTGAAGCCCTCTGGCTGCAATGCGGACCCTGCTTTGTTTTCAAATTCACGTTATCTGGACCCCGACCCATGCCGACGCCGGGAAAAGCAACTTCAAGTCCGACACCCTCCCCTGAACTTCAAAGACGGACATCAGGGCTGGTCTTCTGCTAATGTTCATTATTCACAATAAAGTGATAAAAGTGTAAAAGAGCAGAATCTACAACAAATTCACTGGTACACTAAGTCACAAGCCTAAATCTGGTTTCTCTGAACAGCTAACTGTAGACGAGTGCAACGGGCGTCCACTCGCCTGTGCCGAGGACGCCGGTTCCCCGGCCAAGGGGGATCGCCTGTTCCGGGACTGAAGAATTCTGCGGCAGAAGCACACAATCTGGATAACCAATCCCAGGAGAGTGACAAAGTCACTCTACACACAGCAGGTAAAGTGGGAAGGGGACCTCCGCCGGCCGGCACAGTGGGGCGTTAATGGACCCGTCGGGCAGCGTGTGCACGGGGCTCCGAGCCAGGCCTGGGGCAGGCGGCCTGCAGCAGGCTGCGGGTCTGGTGCCGGGGACATGACCTCCCCGGGCGGCGGGCGAGGGTCTCCCCCGCGGCAGCACATCGCTTACCCCAGCGGGGGAGGGCCAGGGACGCCCCAGAACGTAGAGCTCCCAC